TAACTAACGCTCTCAATATTCAGATGTCATACAGCATTATATGACGAAATAATATTACAAATAGGTAAAAATTCGGTCAATGTTGAACAGTTACAACATATATATTACATTGTTCAATTTTACATATTTTTCCCTTTTATTATATATTTAATTCCCAAACGTTTATTTTTCTTTGTATTTGATCTAACTTGAAACGTGAACTTTCTTCAAAAAAGCCTCGGAGGAAATATGGAAACTGAATGGATTCTCATGTAACTGTCACCTGATCGACTCTTATTTATGATTAAAACCATCAATTCAGTACTTTTTAATTATTGGTAAGATGTATATACAATGCAGTTGCTCATTGCTGATCTAAACATGCTGAAATTCATTCGTACACGATAGACAAGAAAGACAGAGGAAATTCGAACTGAAAATTCGCCAGCGTTCCTTACTAACAAAAAAAACTTCTAAAATCAGTAAAAGTAGTTCTAAAATGACTAACTTAGATACTACAAACAAATTATCAACCACAGAGATGTTTTCATAAGATTAAGACTGTTTAATTTGTATTTTGTATCCTACTTGTACGATGTCTGGCTGAACCTCGAAGTTGGTCAACTTCGACTTGAAATTAAAAACTATTTGCACATGAAATCAAAATTCTAACAAATACGTTCTCTAAAACCTTTTATTATTAATAATTTCTGAGAACTTACATTATTGTAAGGTAATCCAATTTTTTGCAAAAACACTTTTTATAAGAGCCCACTTTTCACGATTTTTCACCGTTTTTTATATAACTGCGCATGCGCTGGACTCGTTTTTTGGAGTCTTTTCTGGACTGAAATTCTCACTTCCGTTAACGCCGTTTTTGGAGTTCGTCTAGACTGATTATGTGTCAGACTGACAGTGACAGACTCTCAGATCGTGATTCTTTTGGCTGAACTTTTCATTGTATTTTGGAGAGAATCTAAAAACTATTTTTACTGAGTGGAAACTGTGTCAAAATCCAAGATTTATATACAGTGAAAAGCATAATTGTTTCATATTAAAATTATTTCTGTAAAAATCGAAAGGAACAGTAATGAGTTAAGTAATTGATTTCTTCATAATTTATGTACCTACAAATAGCTACAATTTTTGGGAAAGATAATATTCTTGTCATAACCATTTGAGCAGGGAGAAGGTTACTGAAGATAGGGCCTTTCAAGTGAAGGAGAGTAAGGAAAGTGGTTGGGGTATTCCAAGATGTGAAGAATCCTGTCTTTTGTGTGGAATTCAAGGTATTAAAGATAATCTAACAGCTATCAGTATGGTCCAAATATTAGTATTCACACTTTCAAAACTTAATGCTAGTAGATCTAGTACTAAGAAAAAAATACGACATAATTCAATTTGAGGATATTTCAACATGAACGCTTTAAAATATTGTCATCAATAATTTTAATTGTAGATATTGATAAACTTTTCCCACAAGAAGAAGCATTTGCCTCCAGGGTACCATGGACGTGTGGCAATATAAATCCAAAGGACAACTGAGGCCTAGTTAATAGCCAATTTCCTGCACATTCAGTCTTAGACTACATTGTTTGCTAACAATAGGACTCAAACTGATTTACATACTAAGGAAAAACTCTTCTAAGGAAATTAATCTTAGGTGTCATATCAATTAAATGCTCTTATTACTTAATTGTAATGTTTTTAATGTACTGAATAGGTTAATTTGAATAAATTCACGATTGTTTGAAAATTTTGTTTGTTTATTTTTTTCCTCCCTCCCTCGTAGGTTTTGAACTTTAGATGTGACGTTAAACGTAGAATTAACTTTAAACAGCCTTATGAGGTATAAATAGGGAGTAGTTATTGTAGCGAACATCCTGCCACCTGGCGTCATAATGCGGCATTAAAATAGCACAATTTGTATTGGTCTTCCTTCAAAGCGCTTCATGGATTGCGTAATTGAATTTACGATTTTAATTCAGATAATGATAGTAATGTGTTTAAAACTATGTATCAATTTAAAAGGAAGAAGAAGGAACTTACAAGAACAAAGCAACTTAGATATAAACATGAAATAAAGAATGGAAGAATTTTAAAGTTAAATGTAAGAAGCACGAATATTAAAGCAATGAAGTGACATATAGTTGCAATAATACTAAAGAATAAGCAAGATGACAGAATTTAAGAACAACAAGAGATGTTTGTAAAACACTTATGCCCCCCTCCCCCCAAATTTGAATTTTTTTGTAAGTCCAAGGGGGCATAAATCTGTCAAAAATGGCACGATTGTATCCAAAACAGAACTTGACCTAGATATTCATCTGATTAATCTGTATATTAAATTTCATCTCAGTATGTGCAATGGTTGCAAAGAAAATGAACGGAAACTGCAAATAATTGAAATTTTTCCAAACTCCAAGGGGCATAACTCTGTCAAAAATGGTGCGATCTTACCCAAAACAGAACTTGACTTAGATATTCATGTGATATATCTGTATACCAAATTTGATTTCAGTATGTGCAACGGTTGCAAAGAAAATGAGCGGAAACTGCAAATAATTGAAATTTTTTCAAACTGCAAAGGGGCATAACTCTGTTAAAAATGGTGCAATCGTACCCAAAGCAGAACTTGGCCTAGATATATATGTGATATATCTGTATACCAAATTTGATTTCAGTATGTGCAACGGTTGCAAAGAAAATGAGCGGAAACTGAAAATAATTGAATTTTTTTCAAACTGCAAGGGGCATAACTCTGTCAAAAATGGTGCAATCGTACCCAAAACAGAACTTGGCCTAGATATATATGTGATATATCTGTATACCAAATTTGATTTCAGTATGTGCAACAGTTGCAAAGAAAATGAGCGGAAACTGCAAATAATTGAAATTTTTCCAAGTCCAAGGGGCATAACTCTGTCAAAAATGGTGCAATCGTACCCAAAACAGAACTTGGCCTAGATATTCATGTGATATATCTGTATACCAAATTTGAATTCAGTATGTGCAACGGTTGCAAAGAAAATGAGCGGAAACTGCAAATAATTGAAATTTTTCCAAGTCCAAGGGGCATAACTCTGTCAAAAATGGTGCGATCGTACCCAAAACAGAACTTGGCCTAGATATTCATGTGATATATCTGTATACCAAATTTCATTTCAGTATGGGCAACGGTTATGAAGAAAATGAACGGAAACTGAATGGACCGACAGACCGACGGACCGACAGACCGACAGACAGCAGCAAAGCAATATGCCCTCCCTTCTTCGAAGGGGGGCATAATAAAGTGACATATAATTAACACAGTACCAAAGAATAAGCAAGAAGGCAGAATATGAGAACAATAAAGTAACATATAATTAATATAATACCAAAGAATCAGCAAGTAAGCATAATAAGAATAAATGCAAGACGCATAGAATTATGGCGGTAATTCCCTTCCATAAGAATGTCAGCTCAGCAGCTAAAATTGACACCATCTTTAGTTGGCAGTATAATAACTGGGCCAGCGTTGGCCCAATATAAATATCCCATCTTTGAAACACCTAAACAAAAGAACACTCGTGCTAACATCGGGCCAACATACTACAATGTACTACCAAATTGATAAGACATTTTTTGAGGGTGTATTACAAACATTGGGCCAACGTTTGGCCATCATAATACTACCAGTTAGATAAAACACTTTATTAAGGATGTATTACAAACATTTAGCCTACGTCAGGCCAACACACTAATATCAACTTGATAAGACGCATTCTTTATGGGTGTATAACAAACATCGGGCCAACGTTGGGCCAGCATACTACTACCAACTTTAAAAGACACTCTCTTTAAGGGTGTATTACAAACATCGGGCCAACGTTGGGCCAACATACTACTACCAACTTTAAAAGACACTTTCTTTAAGGGTGTATTACAAACATCGGGCCAACGTTGGGCCAACATACTACTACCAACTTTAAAAAACACTTTCTTTAAGAGTGTATTACAAACAGTGGGCCAACGTTGGGCCAACATCAACATCCCTCCTTCCTTGGGAAGCAAAGTGAATGGAAGTTACTAACGTTGGACCATTGTTGGGCCAACATAGGAATTCTGTCATGGTCGAGGAGGTTGGCATGGTGACATTGGTCCAACGTTGGCCCAACGTTGTTCCCCCAACGCCAACCATACAACCTTTTGCCAATGTTGGCCCAACATAGTCTTGCTATCTGGGATGTTTATATTATAAATGAATTAATAATATTTCAGGAATTTAAAAGTTATTAAGAAACGGTAATTTAAGTAAAAAAAGTTAAATCGTATCTATATAAATCGTATATGTACGTATACAACTATAACGTGCGTGTGCAGCTTAAACTTGACATAAAGATTTATTACGGCCGGGGAAAGTTAAAGATACTGAAATAAACATGAAAAAAAATTGTTTTTTTTTTAAATTTTAATGTAGCTTACATAATTATGTTAATTCGAAGGATAGTTTTTACGATATGACTAGGAATAAATAAGATAATCATTGCAAGAAAAATGATAACTCTGCAATTTTTTTTAAAAGTTTTTTTTTTTTTATCTTCTTGAAAAAATTCTTGCCTTCTTCATCACATTGAAGATTTTGTCAGTTGCACACGTGTGCGTACCTATGTTTTTCTTTAAGTTTTTAAAAAAGAAAGTTTTCTTTTTTCTTTTTGATGTTTTATTTTCTTCTTCTAAAAACAAGATTGTTTTAGTTTAGTTTAAACAAAAGTATCAATTGTTGTCTAAAGTTTAATAAAGACAGAAAGTGACAAAACTTCTACCTTATACTTGCAAGAAAATAATGGATATGTTTTTTTAAAAACAACAACTCTCTCTTTCTATCTCTCTCTCTCTGATTCAAAACTAAAGAATTTTCAATCTGTTCATCCCCTAAAATGTAATGGAACAGGCCAAATACCGGATGTTTCTTTCGAATATCCTCGTGTGTTTACCTTGTATTATACGCAAAAGTACAAAACCCGGAAACGATTATTCAAAACACAACAGGTGCGAAAGTGGACTAGTCCAGGTAGACTACAAACATTCAAAATGGCGTCTGGTAAAGGCGCAGGTAAAGGCTATCAAGAGAAAAGCCGAGGATACATGTACTGGTTTGCCTTTATTTGTTCGATAATCTCTCTGGTTTTAGTGTTTGTTGCCTTCGCCTCCCCCTTCTGGTACAAGTCATGGAGCCGAGTCCACAGTCCCCTCGCCAATGTCGGGATGTGGCATATTTGTCTCTCAGGATGGGTCAAGCCAAGGGACCCCACCATGAGATCATATGTAGGCTGCTGGTGGATCCATTCTACTTTCTTTGAAGACGTCTGGGATGAAATAATGCCAGGTAGATTTCATCAATCCATATATAATAAGTAAAGTGACTTAATTAATCACATAAAAGTAAAATGATAGATCTATGCAAGAAAGAGCTTGTTTTGCTTTAATATTTTGGCTCAACCATTTTACACGATTAGCTTCATGTTCAATATCACCAGGTTAAATCCAAACTTTAAATTTTTTTTTGAAAGGGGGGGGGGTGAAAAATAATATATACTGAGAGGAATTTGCATGGGTTACTTTTAGTTGTTACGAAATGAATCTGTTTTTAAACATATTTTTTTAACATCATTCCCAAAAGCAAGATTCTCTGTGCAGGAGCTTGATGACAATATTTTAATTCTAACTAGTTCACATTACATTGATCTTTTTTTCAGCCTGGTTCCGAGTCGTCCAGACGGTTGTCATCCTGACCCTGCTGATCAACATGGCTGCCGTGTTCATGCTCTCCTTCTATCCGGTAGACAGATTGAGGATCAAATACTACAACCCAAACCGATACAGGGCCTTCCTGGTTAACTCTGTCCTCATGTTT